GTTCTCAAACAGAAATATTCAGGCCCTAATGAAGAAGCAAAAGTCCAAACAAAGGCATGAAATCCAAAAAACAAACCAAAAGTCCAAGCTGAGAATCAAAAGTCACAGCGGGACCAGCACGGAGACAAGTAGGGGAACACTCAGCAATGATGAAGAACTGTACTGAGCACATTAAATACAGGGGCAAAGGAGCAGGGAGGGAGCGAACATGGGAAACACATCAGACAACAGGAAACAAAGCTAGACAATAAACACCAGACAGCGACAACTTCACAGTAAACTAGGATATAAAGCTAGTGATATGTATCGACGATAGATTAGGTTTGACAATAGAAAAACATCTACCGTTTCATTTATTTTGTTGTGTTGCAAATTCCACGTTTTATGGTAATATTTTTGCAAGGGGACGATGCATTGCACCACTGTGAAGTTAGTTTCAAGTCATCCAACTTAACCAACTTCACCACACGTTCTTCCACAAGTGCTGGTGTTGCATGAAAGAAATTTGCATTCAGAATAAACAAACATGGAGGACAGTGAAGTTCACTCAGAGCTGGGTAAAACAGCAGGACTCAGTGTATGGAAGAAGAATACAACAGGAAATACCACCAAAACTCAAAACCATGACATATTGGTGGAGCAACAAATAATAAAGGAGCCCGGTTGAATTTGATTGAAATAAAAGAAATGATTCAGGTCAGAACGATAGCATCAGCAAACTGTTGTTTTTTAAATTTTCCTAAAATCATTCCAGAAATCATGTTGTCTCAGTTTGGTTCCACACCAAAATTTTCCCCTGGTCATCTATGCCCCCCTCCCTCTGCAGTGGATTTATGTCCCCGCCCAGGGGGGCCCGTCGCCAAGTTTGAGAACCACTGGTCAAAGACATGGCCAAATTTCATTAAATCTAATCCGCTCAGGTAAGGTCCAGTTCTATAGCTGCAGATCTCGGGTCTGAGTGTCAATATGTTTAATCTCCCCGTGGATTGAAGAGGACTCGCTGGTTCCACGCATCACTTGGTGCATAAAAATCATTGCAGGAGAAAATGTTTGAGGTGTGATAGAGTCTGTGAACTCTTAGGTGCAGGGGAAAATGCTAGTGGTGCAGGTTCAATCCAAATTTAGTGCAAATTTAAACAGAATTTTAAAGAAAACCTGCAAAAGAAAATGCACAATGAATAAAGAAGTTGGAAACGGGATGGAAATACGGCATTTATGTTTGTTTTATATTGGACAAGGACATTCATTTGTATAGCACATTTCATACACAAAACCAGTTCAAAGTGCTTTACATAATGCCTGTTACACATTAAAAACCAGGAACAGGTATGCTTCACATACGTCATGATTTAGTCTTTTTCCACTGCACGTTGTCTGAAAAAGTTTTTAATGCAGTTGTTGATTCGCCACAAACAGCCAATGAACTGACAACACCGAGGTTTGCTTACTGTAGTTAACCCACACCGTGGACCAACTTAGTGCATGTATTTGTGTGACAACTCCACCACACCCTCTACTTTGTCTTCCTGTCTCTGTTGTTTTTCGACAGTAATGTGATGACAGGAAATAACGGATGAGAGAGATGGGGAACGACATGTACTGCACCTTATTGAAGCGTTGAGTCAGACAACTTGGGGATAAGTGTGAATTTTTAGTTCACGCTGAAATGAGTTTGTGTCTTTCCACTGACTTTGTATACATTCCACCTCTAAAATGTACTTTGCGTTCAGTCTAAACACCCCTTAACACAAGCAGGAGCTGAGGCGTTTATTGCAGTTGGTTGTATAATAAAGACAAAAAACACCTTGTGGTTACATCCTTTTTTTGTAGGCAGGTGAAGTGCTGTGAATTTTATGTTTATAGTCACTAAAAGAAAGATATCCACATGCTTTCACTGCACCCTAACCCTAAAAAGTAGGCTGTAATAGACACAAAAACACATACTCACACAGTTTACATGTGAAGCCTGGGATGACGTTGCCTCTGTGAAATGCGAGGTTCATCCTCACCATGGCAACAGGGAGATGCCCCTATACCTCCAACCACTTCACGGAAGATACTTGAGATACATGGTGAAGGCTCTCAGACAGAGAACGATGATATTACAAAGAGAAAGAGAATTTTACTATTCAAAAGCATCCAGCGTCAACTGCTTCTCTCTTCAAAGCACTTAGTTAACTATCTCTGTGGGAAAGAGTGTGGAAGAGGTCGGAGTGTGTAAATAAATGTTTATTCATTAGACTTTACATAGGATGAAACATACTTGTGATTTATGCCACTTATCTTAGTAAAGGCTGAAAGGGTATTATATTTACGTTGAGCAGCAAAACCATTAAATCTTTCTTAAAAGAGGGGCTCAGATTTTTTCAAGTGTGTCTTATTTTTATTTTTTTTATTTTCTTCCTAGGAGTTTACTGACTTGTAAAGTGTTCCCATTTGTCTTTCAACAAAAAGGTCTTAACACTGTTTCAAGGCTCTCTTCACACTGCCAGAAATGTAATTCTGGTGGAAAAATACTGGGTTTAAAAATACAGAAATTTAGTTAATTTTACAGTTTTTCTCACTCGCTTTGGTACATTACTCGAATCATCCCTAACATTTGCAAAACAGTAAGTGCATTTCTCGAACATATCGAACGAACAGCACAACACAGTGGTTTACCTGCAAAAGCCCATAACTTGCTCAAAATCTTTAGTTTATCTCTCAAAAGCAAATCTTTATGTCACTGAACATGTCAGTGCCACCAGAATGACAAGTCCTTGTGTCATTGTTTACGAACAAGATAGTCAAAATGTTTAGTCATGTTATCAATTTAACGGCACTACATAGCACAACGGAAGACATTTCAAAATTAGAAATGTAAGCATTTGAAACACTCTTTAGGCTGATGTTCCCAGGTCACAGATTCTTGTCCACATCACTACGGATATCTTCATCAATTACAGTAAGGAGACATTTACAGAAAATAAATTCTAACAGGCATTTTTGGAAAATATGATTGACAGATATAAAAAATCTCTCTCTCTCTCTCTCTCTCTCTCTCTCTCTCTCTCTCTCTCTCTCTCTCTCTCTCTCTCTCTCTCTCTCTCTCTGTCATCTATTCTTATTTTGTTTATGCACCATGGTCTGTACGAAACAACATTTCATTCAACTGTATACTTGAATGTGAAGAATGACTATTAAGTTTAACTTTATTTAACTTTGATTTTGACAACATGTTCAGCCATTTTGCATGTAGTGGCTTATGCAATGAACTTGTGCCTAGATGTTTTGGGGGGTAAGACTATTCAACAGAGTACCGGTATACTTCATTGTGATCAGCATGACATACCCAATTGACAATGTAGGAAACAGCAGACGATTGTACATAATCATTTGCTTTAATGTATCAAAGCATTTGCAATTTGTTCAAAACAATGAGAAATTGCTTTTATGATGTGCACACGTGACGAGATGATCTGGAGGTTGAACAAGTAATTTTGAGAATTTCAATTCTGAACTTACTAAAGCGAGTGAGAAAAACTGTAACTGTAGGATGAAAATTTCCAAATTCCCAGAAACATTACTGAAGACATGACTACATGTTTCCTCAAAAGTCAGACCTGCAATTTTAAGTAATCCCTTCGTAAAGTGTCTCTAGTATAAGCGACAGGGGCCAAAATTCACAGTCCTTACTCTGCATCCTTTAACATGACCTAAAGCAAATATGAGCCCTGACAAATGAAGTCTATGTCTTCTAAAGTTATACCGTCCACTTGGTGCAAAATCCCCTCTTGTATTAAGATTGACTTAAAAGATCTGAACCTGTCCTTGAAAAGGAACGACCATCTGTGCCTTGTTTGTGTTAATAGGGACCCTAGCTCCTCGCACCAATGAATCATATACCTATCAGCACAAAACACAGCCGAGCTGGAAGTTGACCTTATTCAAAAGGGCACTCAGGCGTAAGCTCAAAGAAAGCATTGTGGCCACAGAAGTAAATCTCAGAACTGAAAGGCAATGTTTTTACATGTGGAGCAGTGCAAAGTAATGTCACCTGCTGTTGGGCATTTGACAGTGTTTCTGTGCATTTAAAGTGATACAATTCTCTCTCCTTATCAGCAATAACAAAACTACGTTCTTGCTTCCTCTGAGAATTTATTCGGCTAACTCACTAATACAATTAGCTGAGGGTTGTTTTTTTCTTGTGTGGATTTTGTTGATTAAAGCAACTGTAAAAACAAACTTACAACAGTGACTTTGAGTACTAGTTACGCTCATGTTGAACAGTTCTACTCCAAACAGGCCTCCGGCACGTTTAGTAAATGATCTTTGCCCATTTCGTGCCTCTCTGGAACCGTAATGAGACAAGTAGGGACATTATCTTGATTAAAATCAATCCCAATTGGATTTCACTGTTACATTCCCTCGCTTGGCTTCACTGATTAGAGTACAGCACAGCACAGAAAACAGAAATCAGGAGCGAGGAGACTCATCAAAGCGTTACATGTACATCCATGGACAACCTGACAGATAATCCCTGGACGTCTCCTCACCGTCCATTACTGTCGTCAGATCTAACACAGAACACTTGCTGCTGTCACAGTGTTTGATTATTCAAGTGGTTTAATATCGCGCTATTACTGTAGTGTTGCTTGTTTCACTGAATAGAACATGTAGTTATATTCGTGTTAAATTTGCTTCAGCACATTGTCGTGAAGCTGATGTTCATCAGAATATGTGTGTGCGGGTGTGTGAAAGGTATGGTTTATGTAAAGCACTTTGTAAAATTGTAATGTGAAAAAACAAAAATTTCTATCAGAATAAAAAACTACAGAAGGGAACGAATGAAAGAAAGGATGCAGGAAAAACAGGAATGAGGAAAGGAACAAGGAAGGACAGATAGGGAAAAGACAGCAGATGAGAAAAAGAAGAAAAGAAGGAGGGGATGAACAAAGTGATAAATGAAGTGGTGGATGGAAGTAAATAAAAGAAGGGAGACCTGGAGGAAAGTAATAAGGAAGGAAGGAGAAGAGAAAAGGAAGGATAGAAGGGAGGGAGGAAAGAAGGAGAGGTACAAAAATGAAGGAGGGAAGAGGGAGAGAAATGGAAGGAAAGAATGAACAAAGATGAGCAAAATGAGGAAAGGAAACATGGTGGGAAGGAATGACAAACGTTAGCAAAAGAGAGGAATTGAAGTATAGGAAAGAGAGGAGGAAGGAACGAAGAAAAGAAGGGACCTAGGGAGGAAGGAAGAAAGGGAGCGAAGTAATTCATTTTCACGCCGTTGCTCCTGTTCCATGCAGGCTCGCTGTACCGCGGGAGGGTCGCGCTCACTACATCACACGCGGTCACATTCTTCAACGCGGTGAGATTTAACGTTACCGCCGGTCTGTCCCGCACCTGAAACGTAGCGCGTCTCCAAGCAAACGGCAGACAAGCACCCAGCGGGCATCACAGGCACCGAGTCCACCGACGGGCACCCGAGTAGAGGCGAAAGACGCGCGCAGCACATACCGCACTATCCGAGCGAGGACCATGGAGAGCTCAGGCAACGGCTCAGACGCGGATTACCGGAGCCAGCTCCCCGTGTTCTACAGCAACAGCAGCTTCTGTCCAAACTTCACCGACGGCAACAACACCACGAGCTTCGCGGAGGCGCGATGCGACGGGGATCGCAGACCGACCGGCAGCCTGGAAGACGACGCAAACCCCGTTATCATAGCGATTGTCATCACAGCTCTCTACTCCATAGTGTGCGTGGTGGGGCTGGTTGGAAACGTGCTGGTTATGTACATCATCGTCAGGTAAGAAAAAAAAAAGTAGTACTCAGAAAAACACGTGAGGATGGTGTTTTCTCAGCTGTGTTGCGCAAGATTATGCTTAATTCTTTTATAAAATGACTGTAAGTGAGAAAGGACTCTACGGCAACCTGTTGCTGTATTTACCATATTGCACATAAAAGTGGTGTGTGTGTGTGTGTGTGTGTGTGTGTTTATGAGGCCGAGTGAGACCATGTGAATGCGGTGTTGACAGCGCTCCCAGCTGAGCTGCCGTTCGTGCGTAAAATGCCTCCAACCTCGCAAGGTGCTCCAGCGAGCAAAGAGCGAGCGAGGGAGATGGGGAGGAAAAGCTCCTTTTTTATACAGCAACAGCCAATATTTATAAGAACTGAGGAATACTGTATGTTGTAAATATGTAAAGGCGCACATACACTGTGTGTCTCTTTCCTCCACAATACCACTAAAGTGCAAACTCGCTCTATGATGATGCGGCACTTAAAACTAGGCACCATGAACCCTGTCCTATGATGTTGTTTTCCCATTTTGTGTAAATTGGAGGAGAGGCTTTTAAATAGCTTTGGAAATACAAACTACATGTTCTTTCGCTGCTTCACCTTTTTAAATCCAGGCCACTTTCATGCCAAATCAGCTGGCTCAGCTAACATGGCAACATCTCACTAATTGATATTTAAAACTTTCAAACAAATGTCACACTCTCAAGCCCTCATCACAATTATCTTAAATCACCTGTCACAAGGAGTGAAAGGATAATAATACATGAGGAGTGGTGCACAAATGAAACATTTGAAGGTCACTTTCTATAGAATAGGTGAGACTTCTGATCTGTCAGGTCACACTGTTTTTTTTTTTTTTTTTAACTTACAGACCAATTAAATACTCTTTCAGTGAGAAATAACACAATAACACAAACCTCACACAAGATGGATATTTTCCATTTTCATCCACTGATACCGACATTAACAAAATGTGCACTAATTGAAGGAATTAATATAAGTACACCTTTGTGTTAACACAAAACATAATTCCATTAAAATCACACATTGTACTACATCAGCCCACTGAGTTGGATTTCACTGTGAGAAGGAGGATTTCACTGGTAGCCTTTAAATACACATTAAAATCTGACATTTCTCTTAAGGGCTCCACGGCTGTTGCCACGGCATTTAAGATGAGGCTCCCTCAGGTAACAGAAGTCTCTATAGATTGGTGAAGCAGCAAGAGAGGTGGGGGAGGAAAATGACATAAGAGGTGAGAGATGAACTTGGAAAAGAGTTGGACATGAGTGGAGGGTTGAGAGAAGAAAAAATAGTTGCGAAGGTTGAGGAAGATGGAGACAAAGGAAAGGAGGTCCACCCTCATTTTGGCACTTTGTGATTACCCACTTGAATGGTCTGACAGAATCAGTGAAGAGTGGGGGATTCACTGTGCTTAACTTGTCAGGCATGCGCTTAAATGGCTTTGAAATTGAAATGACTTTATTAGAGAAACTATGTGAAAAGCAGAGGATACTTTGTTTACTATATACTATATTTTTAATTTCCTTCTCTATTACTACTATAATATAATATAGCCTTACTTTGTTAGACCTACGGTCCCCCTCACATCCCCACTGTTTCCAGGGCAGATGCAGCATCCAGCGAATGCTCATTTGCCAGACTGCACACATCATCCCCTTCAGTCTGAGTGCTTCCCCAAATAGTTCTGTTTTGCTGAAGAATACACACATTTTTTCCCAGGATGTTTTCTGCATCTATGCAAGATGTTTTCTCCCCCAAATTACTTACGACAGATTTGCCCCCAAGCCAGGGATGGAAGTACCTGAATATTTTACTCAAGTAGAAGTAGACTTGTGTACAAAAAGTAAGTACAAAAGTAAAAGTCTGTTGCTGCATGTGCTACATTTGTGTGTGTGTGTGTGTGTGTGTGTGTGTGTGTGTGTGTGGGGGGGGGGGGTGATGATGAACTATTGAATTGAGGAACAACTTTAGGCTACAAAAAAATGTCACTGTAGACAGACGATATCAATTTATATAGCACACTTAAAACAACCAAGGTTGAACAGGGTGCTTTATAAGGTTAAAGTACAACAATAAAACATTACAGTACCCTGTACATCATAGACTATATGATATATAATGATAATAAATTTACCTGGGAACATAACATTCTTAATTCAAAGGTAATGTCAAAGAAAAGAGATGTGTTTTTAACAATGATTTCAAGTCTTTGAGAGTCAGGGCGTTTCTGATATTGAATGACAGGTTGTTCCACAGGTTGGGACAGCTACACCAAAGGCTCGATCACCTCTGGTTCCTAGTGGAACAGCATCACGCAGCATGAGCCCTTATGTTCAAATAAACAATAAATTTCATAGACATTTAGACCCTGCGCAAACAACTGATAATCAACTATGGATATATTATGCCCTCAGAATTATCAGAATTAACCAGAAAGGGAGACAAAAGTCAATAAAATTAACCAGAAATGACGACAGCAAATAAAAAGATTGATTATTGTGGGAGTGTTTGATTTGACTTTATTAGCATGCTCACTGGGTGGTGCATTAAATCAGTGACTGATTTAGGCATTTTCTTTTTTACCTCTGCCAAGATAATGCAAATCATAGCTATAACCCTTAATGACATCATCCTCAACTGAGTGTGGAGTGTTACCTCTCTGGAGCACAATACTTGAGATTTTAAAAAAATACTAAAGTACAAGTAAAATGATTATTTTTACAAATACACACAAAAAAACACCTTTGTTACGGTAACGAGGCACTTTCTGGCACTTCCATAGCAACAAAATGAAGTGGAAAACAAAGGGAGAGCAACACTTTTTGGAATATTAGGAATGCACCAGCTTCACTTCAATGACTGGATCTGTGTCTGCAGCTGTCTGGCAGGGGTACAGGAGGTGATGTATGAGTTGGTATAGCAGCTTACATTATGTATTCTAAACTAGTTTGTCTACAAAGCAGATGATAGATTCGAAGGGCATTACTTGAGCTTTAGCTCTCACTTCCTTGGCTGTTTCATGGAAAAACATTTCGGACGACACACCCGTCCTTTGGCTTCTCTCGATGGCAATGAAACGGGCATCAGCCCTGACATTAACACAACAAGTAGTGTGTGTGTGTGTGTGTGTGTGTGTGTGTGTGTGTGCAGGCATGCATAGTTTTGAGCGTGTTTGTGACCAAGGAAAGTTTTGTGGATTTCAACAACTTTTTGAGCTTGACTAATGAGACTTTAAGGCAACTGGGAGGAAAGTAAAGGATGTGCCTCATTCCTCTGAGAACCACAATCCTTCAGGATCATTAACATTCATCTACCTCTTTGTCTTTCTCTCTATCTCCACCTGTCTTTTGGTCTGTCGGCAGATTGGGAGTGAGTAGCCATTTAGCTAATGACACTGGATATTTACTTGTAAATGGAAATGTAGTCTTGAACTCCCCGTCCCCACTTTACAGTCATGGCCTTGAATGCAATTTTGCTAGATTAAATAGAGACAGCAGTGGATGAGAGATGTTTTTCCTCTTACTGTCTGAGTAATGATAACCTTAAAGCCATAAAACATTTCTCTCTCACTCTTTATCTCCCTGTCCTTTAGTCATCTCTCTGTCTGCCCCTTCTCTCTTCGATCCACACTTAGATCCGCAAACAAACACATCCACAGATCTGCACGCTCAATCGGAAAAATCAATTGCGGTTGAACAGAAACCACTGGGTTCCTAAAGGAATACGCCGCCAGTGCAGAGTGCTTCCTGTTACCATGGTAACAGTGGGAGGCATTTTGAGTGTGGTGAGTGGAAAATGACTCCCCAGACCCCTGCCGCCATCCCCCATCCAGCTAAACGAGCAGCTGTACCTAGTTGGTCACATTCAGCAGCCAAAGTGTTTCTAAAACTTTGGCTGCTTTAGTTTAAAAGTATTTTGAACATTTGCACCTGCTGAAGTGGACACACTAAACTGCTTTTACTTTGCACTGAATGTACAACAAATGTGTATTATTCTTCACATAAGGCAACATTTCTAAGGAACGTCTAAACATCTGTGTCCCTGCTGTTTATGTGAGAGTTTGAACCCTGTCACATGAAATATGATGTTATGATGAGAGTCAGCACAATCTGGTTCACAAGACTAATGTCATAGATCCTCACTAATGTTTCTCTCTAATGGGTTTCTCGTAGCTCCCCGCTGCCTGACATGAAACATTGTCTCTGCAGTCTTTCGAAGTCCAGGTTCGTGCTCAGCAACAAAGCCTTTCAAAACATCACTTCTAGTGCTTGTATTTTAAGCAATCCAAAAAGGGACAATTGTTTCTGGTCTAACAATTGTGACATACCCATATGTACAATGAAAAGTTACTGCTTGCAGTGATTGGTTATCCTGTCTATACTGGACACTTTCCTAAAGCGATGTCGATGTACATGAGTGGGGACAAAATCACTTCTTCTGAAGTTCAGCTGAAGTAATACTGAGGCATCTTATTTAGAAAAATCAATTGGGAGACTCTTTTTAGTATCAAATTCTCTTGAGCTGTTGCTCAGAAAGTATGCACCTTTACTTGATGTAAGCTGGTATTCACCGGTACCTAGACTTTTTCTTGTGCACTCTTTTCTACCCTCTCCATATTAGCTTCTCTGGGCGATTCATAATGGCTTGAATAAACTGCATTACCCAGGGGGCACTATGTTATGCTCACCTGTTCCCATTCTCACCTGCCTGCTTTTCTCTGTTGGCAGCTACTCTAAGTAACATTAAAACTTACAAATCCTTGCTCTAAAAGGGCACACAGAGTCAGATGATGGTCCAACAGAGCTTTGAAAGGAAATTCTACCCAACAGGTGTGTGACACACTCAAAGTAAAGATAATGCATCCTGAGATTTTGCCAGGGAATACAAGAAACTAAGGGCAACCTTACCAGGGTGCCTTTTGTTGAAAGGTATTGTTGTCGATGCACCCGTCTGGCATTTTATTTTTTTCTACTTCAAGCACTGGGA